GCAAATTGTATTTAAACTGAGACCTGGAAGATAAGAAGTGTCAGCCAGGCAAAAGGGGAACAGAGTGGCAAGGGGGGACTTTTCAAGCAGAGAGCCTGGCTGGAATATGTGAAGACTGGAAGCAGAGGAGAACTTCTAGTAACAGGAAAGCTGGAACAGAGTAGGGGCCAAAAATGAAGGTGGAGAAACAGCAAGTTCTGTATACCATGTTAGAGATTTTGGATTTTATTATAGGTGTGGTTGAAAGGTGTTGAGATGTGTTAAGCAAAGAAGGGGGAAGATTAAATTTGCAGGTTTAAAAGGTCAGTCTGGCTGCCATATAGAGAATTAATGGGGGGGGGACACGGAAGCGTGGAGAGCCCAGTTAGGAGGCTATTACTGTATTTTGCACAGCACAGAAATCATGGTAGCTGAACTAGAGTGGAAGAGAATTAATTGGGCTTTGGTGGTGTCCTGGATGGAGAAGGAGGTATGAAAGTAATTTCCCTGTGTCTTGCTTGAGGAACTGTCAAATGATGGAGCCTTTAACGACCTGACAGAGCCTGAGGGAGGATCGAGGCCTATGTTAACACTGGAATGTCTATTATGTATCCAAGTGGAGGTGACAAAAGTCAGCAAGAAGAGAGGTCTACCACCCACATCATTAAGTCATTAAGTCATTCAATTATTCACCAAATGTTTATTGAGGAACAATATGTCTAATTCTGTACTAAGTGCTGGAGGTTTAAAAAACAGTGATACAGGGCTTCCCTGGTGGCGCAGTGGTTGAGAGTCCGCCTGCCGATGCAGGGGACACGGGTTCGTGCCCCGGTCCGGGATGATCCCACGTGCCGCGGAGCGGCTGGGCCCGTGAGCCATGGCCGCTGAGCCTGCGCATCCGGAGCCTGTGCTCCGCAGCGGGAGAGGCCACAGCGGTGAGGGGCCCGCGTACCGCAAAAACAAAAACAAAAACAAAAAACAGTGATACAAGTGGCTCTGATTTCATGGAGCATATTGTATTTTAGCAGCTGGTAGTAGTTGCATAGATGATTTTAAAAATCAAAGACAAAACTGCATATGACTGAGGGAGTTCAGACGGGTACATGGATGTTAATATATCTCAAATTACATGCTATAACACTTCCACTCCCCGGGCTGCTCAGCCTGTAGCTGGGGATCAGGGCCTTAAAAAGTAGCCATTTTAACTGTTAAACATTTTGGTTCCATTGACTCCCTTAAAGAATGCATTGTAACAGTTTAGTATTAAGCCTACATTTACATTTATAAACATTTTTTAAAGTTTGTCTTGTTATAAAATCAAGCTGTCAAAATGGGAGTTTCACAAAATGGGAAGTCGTTATTTTATTAGACCCAGGTCTAGTCATACAAAAACAAGGTCTTCAATTTACTAGGGGAATGTGGAGAGTTTTGAGAGAGCCCCCAAATGATTAAATAAGGAAATCCACATCCTATAAGGCAATCCTTATATTTAGCATAGATATTTATGTGTCATGGTGGTGAGTGGAGTATTGAGGAGGAATATAAGTAGTGAGTTTAAGTATATCAACCTCATAATTTTAATACCTAACATTTATATGGTGCTTTACAATTTTCTGAGCCCCACTCATATTTTTCTTTAAATCGTGTAGACCATAGTTATCAACTATAGTTTCAGGTTGGACAAAACAGGAAGAATTAAAATTTTATTCTAAGGGAGTCAGGTCATGTATAAAGAATTATTTTCTGAGGTTGAAGATTGTCACACACTGGAATGGTTTCCTTGGGGATGTTCCTGATTCACCTTTTCTAGGAATCCTTAATAACAGCATAGAGTTATGAGGCCAAGATTGATGTTATTCATTGATCAAAATGAGAAATGGTATAACATAAATGAATGTATATAGAGGCCCTTCCCTCGAAGTTGCAGGGAAAAAAAAAAAAAAAGCACAGGCATTAGAGCCACACAGCCTTGGTTGGAATCTTCACTCCATCTCTTGCTAGCTGTGTACCCAAGAGCAACTTATTTGATGGCTCTTATTTCCTTTATCTTCATAGGGAGCTTAGGAGGTATTAATGGATAACACAAAGTATCCAGGTTATTCAACAATCACTTGTGCCCTTCCTCTTGATGCCTTCCTCTGAGGCATCCTTCCCTAGCATTCTAAAATTGAAACCTGTGAACAAAATACGGGACCAAGGAAAAAACTGAAGCTCAATTTAAGACTCACCTTTTCCGAAACCCATTAAACTAGTGTAAATTTTTAGCAGCATATATGTCTAAAACTTGTTAAATCAGCCAAGATCATGGATCATCTTTTTTACAGTTGACCAGATGAAACGTCAGATTAATCTCTATCATTTACAACATGAATTAAAGTTATAAATGCAGCATGCAGTAGAGTTTTAAAATACCAGAACAGGGTTACAGTATTAAGGTCAGAAGATATAATAATAATAATAATTTTATTATTATTTACTGTCACTTGAATATTTAAGGGAAAATTTAGGAGAAGGCACTTAATCCTTATTTTTCTCATGTGATAAGGTTTACTTAAATTTTATTCCTTTAAATACTTTCTAATGTTTAGATGAGCTATTCTCTTGCTTCTGTAGAAAAGCATGATTAACATGGATCAATTTGTATCTCTTTAACAGGGACAAGTGATCCATACGTGAAGTTTAAAATTGGAGGAAAAGAAGTTTTTAGAAGTAAAATAATACACAAGAGCCTCAATCCTGTGTGGGAGGAGAAAGCTTGCCTTCTTGTTGAACATCTTAAGGAACCATTGTACATAAAGGTGAACCATTTATTTGTTTTTCCCTAATGTAATCTGATATAGAAATCCCCGTTTAATGGTTTTTTATAATGTCTGTCTGTCTGATGAGATTTTTCACCAGAGGTATATTCTGCTATGCGCAATTCTAATCTGTTGGTGATGTGATAGAAATGAGCTATAGGGGAGGGGGAGCTGGTGGGAGCATCTTTCTTCTGGACAGTTCTATTGCCAGTTATATTTAGGAGAATTATGAAGTCTATCTCCTCCTGCTTGGTGCAGTTAACTGATTTAGTGCACTTTGGGAACGTATAAAAATAAGACTCCCTATAATCTAGCACGAAGAGCTTACACAGAACACACCCTTTCTGTTTAAAAATTATATCAGGGGAGACTTCCCTGGTGGCACAGCGGTTAAGAATCCACCTGCCAATGAAGGGGACATGGGTTTGAGCCCTGGTCCAGGAAGATCCCACATGCCGCGGAGCAACTAAGCCTGTGTGCCACAGCTACTGAGCCTGCGCTCTAGAGCCGGCGAGCCACAACTACTGAGCCTGCATGCCACAACTACAGAAGCCCATGCGCCTAGAGCTTGTGCTCCGCAACAAGAGAAGCCACCACAATGAGAAGCCCACGCACCACAATGAAGAGTATCCCCTGCTCGCTGCAGCTAGAGAAAAGCCCGCACACAGTAACGAAGACCCAACGCAGCCATAAATAAATTTTTTAGAAAGAATTATATCAGGGATCTACCATTCCTGGTTGCAAACGAAATGCTTTACTTGGAAGGTGAGGAGGGTAAACATAATAGAGGGAGGAAAACTCCTGTCTGTATTACATTACCAAAGATGGGGGGGGGGGAAGTATTTCCTTTCATTTGATGTAGTTAGAAAAAAAAAAAGACGAAGAATTTATGGAGTTAACCTTAATTCCTTATTTTACTTTCAAACCTGACTTCCCTTTAATTCATATCTCTAGGTACTTATATTCTTTTTGACTCTTATGTTCTGACTATCCATGCAGTGACCAAACCTTTTTCTGCTTTTACCACATCACATGCCCCATCCTTTTCTCTAAATTGTCACAACTGGCACGTGAGCCCCGAAGGTCACTTGATCACTCTTTCAGCAAAATCTCTGGGTATCCATCTTCCCCTCACATCTTCATTTGCATTTGCTTCCAGTTGTTTCTCTTTTCCACAGAAAGGAAAACGTAATCAAGATGTTACTAAAATCCTAGCAGGACCATTTATCAAATCAATGAAAAAGAGAACTACAAGTATGTAGTTGATAAGTTTCTAGAAGTCATTATGGGGAGCATAGACCTGTATTTGCTTAAGAAATTGTCTCAAATGGACAATGGCTAAAGGAAATCAGTTAAACAGAATTAGTGAGCTATCTTTTAGTGTTCAAAAATCATGACCCGAGCTTCCCTGGTGGCGCAGTGGTTGAGAGTCCGCCTGCCGATGCAGGGGACACGGGTTCGTGCCCCGGTCCGGGAAGATCCCATGTGCCGCGGAGCGGCTGGGCCCATGAGCCATGGCCGCTGAGCCTGCGCGTCCGGAGCCTGTGCTCCGCAACGGGAGAGGCCACAACAGTGAGAGACCCGCGTATCTCACACACACACACACACACACACACACACACACACACACACACACACACAAAATCATGACCCAAGAATCATTAATGTGAGAGTCTTCATGGCCAACCCTCCTCCCACCAAAGGGAAGACCTCCGTGGTCAGAGATGTTCCTCATCTCTAGAGAGAAAGAAATGTCTACATGAGAAAAAAGGAAATACCTTCATAATAAAGAACTGAGATAAGGGGAAAAAAGGAATTTTTAAAAAGACAAGTAGGATTAAGGAAGTTTATTCCTAGGGAGATTTAGAAGAAATAAGTTAGAGCAGCTGCAACCATGGAGGAAATGGATAGGAAAGGAAAGCAGGGTTAATAAGGATAGCACTGGACCATTGGGATCTCATATAATGTCCCTTAAGAGAAAAATTATGGAAGAAAAGGATTAATTTCTAATTGCGTTTGCTGTGGATCTGTTTCTTGAATGGGATATTACTCTATGACAGAAGCATGTGGATCTCCAGTCTTTACAGCGGTTACAAATGAATGTTCCAGTGTTACATTAGGTAATGGCTGGGTCCCTCTGCTATTCTTTTGTGTTCAAGAATGACATTCATCTGTGCAGAAATCCAGATGTCAAACGTGTATTTCAAAACAAATATCATAATAGGCTCAGAAGCGAACAAAAATCTGAAGTACACAGAAAAAAATGGTGGCAAAAATTTTTGTTTTGGTTTAAGAGAGCAAGAATAGATACACTTACATACTGAAAATGGAGACTGTAACGCTGCCTGTAGACCAAAGGCCTAGTTAATGACACACTGGGAACAAAGAGGTTAGGAGAGAAAACCCAAGGGTGGTTTTTGTTTTTGTTTTTTACCACTTTGAGTTTCCAAAGTACAATATTATGTAGCCACAACTTAACTTCCACCTTACGGAAGAAGATACATAGTGAATTGTAAAAGATTTGACACTTTTTTTTTTACATTTCTACATAATAAAAAATAAACAGAAATCACACTGGCCTCTCAAATACTAGTACAAACATAAAATAACAAGACTTTATTTTTATGAATGCTTTATACTTTTTAATATGCTTTGATATTTTTCATTTGATTTTCATTTTCTGGACCATGCATAGGGCTTCTTTTGAAAAAAAATTTCTGACTTTCACCTTTATTTTTCCCATGTTTTGTGTTATCTACTTTTTGCCTGATGTGGGACACACAAAGACCTAAATAATATACATTGGTGGAAATGATATTTTAAGTTAATAGAATTTCATGAAGATTGCATTGTTTTCATCGTCTCTACATAGCTCTGTGTGATTGACTTTTATATGATGCCCACATCCTCTGTGATAGGGAATTAATCTTGCCTGAAAGATTTCTTAGGGACTAACTGATTCTGTAGTGACAGGTAATATGAAAATGCATCCATGAACTAGATGATTAGAAAATATTGTCTTCAACCCTCCTCTCTATGGTTCAATGAAAAAGAAGTCCACATGCACACTGTAATCTGATTTCTATCAGTGTAAAGATTACCAAGGGAAACAAAATTCAGTTCTAAGCTAAGGTTATAAAATCACACTGAAGTTACAGTACTTATAACATTTCTAGTAAAAACAAATTTTAAAAAATCTTGGTAGTGTCATTTTTAAATACTACACAAAATAAAGAAATACACTTTCCAATTGATTGGAATTCATATAGCTTTTAATTTTGATAAAAAGAGAATATTCCTTCAGTTATGAATGACTTCACAGTAAGGGCAGGTAAAAAACAAGCCTGCAGGGATGGGCTTGAAACATATTTATCGTAGGGTAGCAGTAGAATCTGGGAGTTAAATGCAGCGCTTCTAACTGAGATAAGAGCCCCTGTATCCACAGAGATGCTCCAGCACACATCTTAAATAATAGAGTAAATTCAGCATCCGTTTCAGTTGAATTAAATTCAGATTCTCCATTGTAATTTCACTGACACTATTATTCCAGGTACACAATGAGCACCCAGAATTACAGTGGAAAGAGGTAGAAGTAATCTAAAAGGAGAAATGTAAATTGTTGCTTGTTTGGCCTAATCATGAGCTAGAAGAGCTAAGTTGAAAGTGCTCTTCTAAATAATAGAAAGATTTTGATAACTAGAAAAACTATTCCGTTTGGAACCATAGTACTGATTCTAAGATTGTCATTTTAACAAACTTGATAGTTGCTTAAATAACTCACATCTATCCAAGCTTAAGATTTAAAATTGAAAATGTACTTAAAGCATGGGTCAAGCTAAGGCCCATATAACTGTCTTGTCCAAAATTATTTCCCAGTAGGTTCTAAGGGTCCTAAAAAGAACTTCATATACCAACGACCCTCAACCCTGACTGTACATCAGTTTAAATATGCTCTGTGTCTGAAATCCATTACAAGATTTGAATCTGACCTCTTCTTAGCCCGGGCATTTAGGGGCAAGTAACATAAATGTTTTAAGCTTTGGATTCCTTATCTGACAAATGGAAACAATACTTTGTTCACTGAGTTGTATAAGAATGAAATTTAAAAATCTATATGATGTGTTTAACGCAGTGCCTTATATATGGTAAATGTTGAGTAAACTTTAATCGTCATTAACTGTGCTTCTTATTGCAGTGGAAGTGCCTTTCCTATTTCATCACTCTTCTATGTCCTATATTTTCTGACACTTCACCTAGAGCAATGCTCCCTCTGACAAATAGTTTTTAGAGCTTGGAACCACATTGCATAGCAAACAATTTCATTGAGGAGTGGATTCTGGTGTTTCCATTCTTCCCTGTGTTTATGCCTTTGCTGAGTAATAGGAATTGAGAACTAATGTAAACATCTAGCATTAGGACGGTAGAAAAGACTCTCCCCATGAGAATAAACAGAGTTTGAATGTTGACTCACCCGTTTGGGCTGTCTATACTGATCAATTCACTAGATTCCCAGCTTTCCACTTCATATGTGTAGGTGAATCCCAGGTGTTCTCATGGATTGTATGTCACTGTAGTCTCCCCAAAATTTTAATCCTTAAGGCTGATACAATCAGAGGAGATTGCACAAGAGAAATTTCTCTAATTTTGGTGTAAATTTTATGTTGTAAAATACCCTACTGCAGCCACTTGCAAATACCAAGGTGTCAGTTGTATAAGATATGCCACTGAGCAGATGACTAAAGCTCAGAAGTGTAATTGATCAAGGAGAATATTTACTGCGGGAGTGCTGCGCTTTCTACAACAAATGTACTCCTGAAAGGTTGTAAGTAAATCAAATGACTATAAATTGAATAATTTAAAAGGCATTAGAGGAGCTTATAACTTAAATAAATCCCTTGTGACTCTTCTAATTTAAGAATCCCTTTGTAAAGCAAGGGATTTATTTTTTTTTAATATCAACTTTTTACATATTAAGTTTGTTTAAATTGCAGTACACCTGTACTAGAGAAAAGAAAACAGTAACTGATACAGGGCTTCTGTACATGCTACTCCCTCAGCGTGGAGCTTTTTTCTTTTTTTGCGGTACGCGGGCCTCTCACTGTTGTGGCCTCTCCCATTGCGGAGCACAGGCTCCGGACACGCAGGCTCAGCGACCATGGCTCACAGGCCCAGCCGCTCTGCAGCATGTGGGATCTTCCCGGACCAGGGCACGAACCCGTGTCCCCTGCATTGGCAGGCGGACCCCCAACCACTGCGCCACCATGGAAGCCCCAGCTTGGAGCTTTTTAACTGTTGTGTCAAGGATTGGGCAGAGGGATGCTGAGCTACGGGTTCTCTCAGCCCAATGCATTCTCACCTCCTGGAGAGTCCAGTGGTCTGGGTCATCCTTTCAAGAGCAGACTTACCTGTTTATGCTCATTTACTCCAGTGAGCAATACAATGATTTTCTATTTGAAAATGTCAGAGACACAGCTCTAAACTCCATCTCTTAACCTTTTTTTCAATCTTAAAAGCTTTCCCTGATCTCCAATGTAATTTTTTTCTTTTTGTACCCTGTTCTTTTCTTTACAACAGTCATCTAAGTTTGTAATTCTATCACCTGTGCACTTCCTTGTTTAACATCTGCTTCCCTCACTAAACTATAAGCATTGACAATGTGAGATTTCCTCACCACAGTTTACTCAATACCTAGCACAGTGTCTGGCACATAATAAGCATTTAATCAGTGTTGACCAAGGAAATAAATGAGTAAGAAAATGTTTAAATGGATGGAAATTAGCCAACTCCCATTCACTTAGAGTTCTTTGGAAATGGCGCCATCTGATCTAGCTCTGAGCTCTCCCTCCAACTTCCTTCCTCTCTCCATCTTTCTCAGTCTGCTTCAGCCACACTGGCTGCCGGCTGATCCTTGAACATGCTAATCACTTGCTGTTTCCTCCACCTGGTGCGCTCTTCCCATTCCAGTGTCACTCTAATGGCTTAATCTTTCTCATCATTGTAGTCTCTACACAATCACACTTCCTCTGAGAGGCCTTCCTGGACTCCCAATCTAAAATATCAGCTCCAAATGTATATTCTTGTTGAATGCTTATATCACTCAGCATCATGGGTTTTTTTACTTTTTTAAATTAGTTTTTATTGGAATAGAGTTGCTTTACAATGTTGTGTTGATTTCTGCCGTGCAGCAAAGTGAATCAGTTATATGTATACGTATATCCACTTTTTTTTTGATTTCTTTCCCATTTAGGTCACCACAGAGCATTGAGTAGAGTTCCCTGTGCTATACAGTAGGGTCTCACTAGTTATCTGTTTTATACATTGTGGTACATATATGTCAATCCCAATCTCCCATTCATTCCACACCCCCTTTCCCCCCTTGGTAACCAGTAGTTTGTTATATGAAATTATAGAAAAACAAAGCAAATCTATGAAACAGAAAGCAGATCGGTGTTTGCTAAGGGCAGAGCAGGTGAGGAAGAATAATGTTGAAAAGGATCATGAGGGAACTTTGGGAGTTATGGAATTGTCTTCCACCTGGACTGTGTCAGTGGTTGCATAGCCATAGACATTTGTCAAAACTCATTGAACTGTACCGTTAAAATGGATGTATGTCCACTCCTAGATATATATCCAAAGAAAATGAAAACACTAATTAGAAAAGACACATGCACCCCAATGTTCATGGCAGCATTATTTATAATAGCCAAGGTATGGAAACAACCTAAGTGTCCATCAGGAGATGATTGGATAAAGAAGATATGGGGTGTGTGTGTGTGTGTGTGTGTGTGTGTGTGTGTGTGTGTGTGTGTAATGGAATACTACTCAGCCATAAAAAAGAATGAAGTTTTGCCATTTGCAACAACCAGATGGACTTAGAGGGTATTACGCTAAGTGAAATAAATCAGACAGAGAAGGACAAATTCTATATGATGTCACTTATATGTGGAATCTAAAAAATACAACAAACTAACAAATATAACAAGAAAGAAACAGACTCATAGATATAGAGAACAAACTAGTGATTACCAATGGGGAAAGGAGAGGGGCAAGATAGGAGTAGGGGATTAAGAGGTACAAACTACTATGTATAAAATAAATCAGCTACAGGATATATTGTACAGCACAGGGAATATAGCCAATTTTGATAATAACTATAAATGGAGTATAACCTTTAAAAATTGTGAATCACTGTGTTGTACACCTAAAACTTATATACTATTGTACATCAACTATACCTGAATAAAAAAAATTTTTTTAATTAATTTAAAAATATTGGGCTTCCCTGGTGGCGCAGTGGTTGAGAGTCCGCCTGCCGATGCAGGGGATGCGGGTTCGTGCCCCGGTCCGGGAACATCCCACATGACGCGGAGCGGCTGGGCCCGTGAGCCATGGCCACTGAGCCTGCGCATCCGGAGCCTGTGCTCCGCGACGGGAGAGGCCACAGCAGTGAGAGGCCCGCGCAAAAAATAAACAAAATAAAATAAAATATCAGCTCCCAACACATTGCCTTACACTTCTGTCTCCATGGTGCTCCTCACTGAACTGTATATATCTATTTGGGTTTTTATGGACTCTCCCAGTTGTTCAATGTAGGGTCCGGAAGGTCAAGCACATTGCCTGTCTTGTTCATCATAGTATGAATACAAACCGTGAAGGGCACAAAGAAGATAAATAGTTTTGACAGAAGAAAGAAATACATTCTTTTGTTTTTCTTTCTGTTTTGTTGTTGTTAGTCACATTAATATTATGCCCTCATCATTGCTTGTGATAATATAAATTTAATTTAACCTTAGATAACTTTATGAAGTACCTTAATCATAATAGCTTAATGTTTACTTATTTGTATGTTTAAAATGGCATTGTCCTATAATATCAGAGAATATATCTTTGATGACCTGAAAAATACAAGAAATTGGAGTCATATCTTCATCACCTACAGCCCAGCATGGAAGACATATTTGTTGAATTTCATACCAACTCACTTTGCCTTTCAGTAATGCTAATAGACGGTCATCTGTAATGAGAGGAAAATATTATAAGCCTGTGGTTCCCACATTTTTGAGGATTCACTATAATTTATTTGATTTTGTTATCACCTTCTTTGATGTTCTACTTTATACAAATCAGTAATTTTAATTATAAAATTAAGTGTAATTTCCTTTGAATGTTTTGTGAGACCTTAGTATTTCAAAACACAAAAACAAATAAAATTTTAAAAATAAATCTTAGGAAATTTTATTGATATTGGTGACATAGACAACCAGTATTTTATAATGAAGACGTTTTTCACTTAAAGCTTATATTGGAATTGTTTATAATCATGTCTGTGTCTTTGGCTTCATAGGTATTTGACTATGACTTTGGACTACAGGATGACTTTATGGGCTCAGCCTTTCTGGATCTCACACAACTGGAGTTAAACAGGTAACTTTTGAACTGTTGTAATATCACTATACCTTTTTATGCAACTGGGCCTATGTAACAGAAAATGTCAACAGATCTGGGTTCTAGTCACTGTTCTGTCATTTATGGTTGTCTTTGTGCTAGCCAGACTTTTTCAAGTATGTCTTTCTCACTTACCTGGTGGAAATAATACGTAGCATCTTCCCTCACTATCTCATTTGACAACAACTATTCAGCAGAAAAATTCTTTTTTTTTTTTTTTTTTTTTGGCCACACCATGCAGAATGAGGGATTTTAGTTACCCAACCAGGGATGGAACCCGTACCCCCTGCAGTGGAAGCACGGAGTCCTAACCACCGGACCTGGACTGCCAGGGAAGTCCCCAGCAGAAAAATTCTTAAGACACTTTCTTTGTCCTCCAGACTGTGCTGAGCACCAGGAATCTAGATTAAGACACGTTCCTTGCTCTCACATTGATGGTATGATTATAGTGGGGCATAAAGAAGATGATCCATGTTAATCATAATTATTAATTTAAGAATGAGGCCATCACATAGGAAGTAAGATGAGTACACTATGCATCGAAAATAGCAGCACTCTTATCACTTAAGCCGAAGTAGAATCTAATTTTGCCATCATCAGTAATCCTAGGTTACCGAGGAGTAGCCCGAAAGTGGAGGCAGATTGGTTGTATTTACTCAGTTACATTAACTTATCATTGCTTGACTAGTTGTAAAGTAATGATTAGTTATAACTAAATTAATGTTATAAATATTAACCATTCCTTGCACCAAATTATGGGCTTTTATTTTGTTTTAATGTATTTCAACATAGGAGATAAGAATTGATTAATACTACAGAAGAAAAAATAGGTTTTAAAAGGTCCAGCAGTGGGGCTTCCCTGGTGGCGCAGTGGTTGAGAGTCCGCCTGCCGATGCAGGGGACACGGGTTCGTGCCCCAGTCCGGGAAGATCCCACGTGAGCCATGGCCACTGGGCCTGCGCATCCGGAGCCTGTGCTCCGCAACGGGAGAGGGCACAACAGTGAGGGGCCTGCGTACCGAAAACAAACAAACAAAAAAAGGTCCAGCAGTGCTGGAATGGATTGCAAAGGAGGCTGCCAAATCATCTTTGGTGGTTTTAAAGAGATGGTTTAGATCAGGGATCCCCAACCCCTGTTAGGAACCGGGCTGCAGAGCAGGAGGGGAGTGGCAGGCGAGCGAGCGAAGCTTCATCTGTATTTACAGCCACTCACCGTCACTCGCATTACCGCCTGAGCTCCGCCTACTGTCAGATCAGCAGCATTAGATGCTCATAGGAGCGCGAACCCTACTGTGAACTGCATTTGCGAGGGATCTAGGTTGCACGTTGCATGCTCCTTATAAGAATCTAATGCCTGATGATCTGAGGTGGAGCTGCGGCGGTGATGCTAGCTCTGGGGAGCAGCTGCAAATACAGATTATCATTAGCAGAGAGGTTTGACTGCACAGAGACCATAATAAATCCATTGCCTGCAGACTCATGAAGCTGCTGTATAGCACAGGGAGATCAGCTCGGTGCTTTTTTTTTTTAATAAATTTATTTATTTGTTTATTTTTGGCTGCATTGGGTCTTCATTGCTGTGGGCGGGCTTTCTCTAGTTGTGGAGAGCGGAGGCTACTCTTTGTGGCGGTGCACAGGCTTCTCATTGCAGTGGCTTCTCTTGTTGCGGAGCACAGGCTCTAGGTGCACAGGCTTCAGTAGTTGTGGCACACGGGCTCAGTAGTTGTGGCTCACGGGCTCTAGAGCACAGGCTCAGTAGTTGTGGCACACGGGCTTAGTTGCTCCGCGGCATGTGGGATCTTCCCGGACTAGGGCTCAAACCTGTGTCCCCTGCATTGGCAGGCAGATTCTTAACAAGTACGCCACCAGGGAAGCCCCCCAGCTCGGTGCTTTGTGACGACCTAGAGGGGTGGGATGGGGAGGGAGAGAGGGAGGCTCATGAGGGAGGGGATATAGATATACATATAGCTGATTCACTTTGTTGTACAGCAGAAACTAACACAACATTGTAAAGCAATTATAATCCAATAAAGATGTAAAAAAAAAAAACCTATCAGTGAGTGGCGAGTGAAAACAAGCTCAGGGCTCCCACCGATTCTGCATTATGGTGAGTTGTATAATTGTTTCATTATATATTACAATGTAGTAATAATAGAAATAAAGTGCACAATAAATGTAATGTGCTTGAATCATCCTGAAACCATCCCCCACCCCCCAACCCCCGGTCTGTAGAAAAATTGCCTTCCATGAAACTGGTCCCTGGTGCCAAAAACGTTGGGGACCGCTGGTTTAGATGATCATGTTAATCATGTGGCAGGAATAGTGGAAAGCAGAGTAATGGGTCAGATCACAACTTTATATTTTAAATGTAGATGAAATATAAATAGTAGAACTCCTTATATATTGTAGTCTGAGCACAGTGGCAGCTTATTGGTGGTCTTCCAATGGTCATCTGTGCCTCAGACTGGACAAAAGAGTGGCCTTTTCTATACTTCCTATGTGTCCTTCATTCCAACCCAGAGCCTGGCAGGCCTGACCTTGAGGTGATTGCTTGCTCCCCACCTCACCATGGCTGAAGGAAGTCCTAGGTGGTGTTGTATGTGGTCCGTTATCATGAAACTGAGCTCCAGCTAGACTGGGCTGTGCTGTTCTTCATAAAGGCCATGGTTATTTTCTCTGTAGATTCTGCATAAGGGTATGCAAATTACTAGGTTTAATCACAGAGCATAACTTTCTCTTTTTCTCTATTAAAGATAGATTACTGGTGAAAAATAATTTTAAATGGAAAAAAACATATGAGATGGGTAAGAAAACCAAAAGATTATGTATAAGCATTTGGTGTTTATTTTACCACATTACTTATTTTATGTATTTAGCTAACTATACCCTCCCCTCAAAACCACATAAACATCAAATTACCGCTTTTCAACATCACATATTGGGCTTCCCTGGTGGCGCAGTGGTTGAGAGTCCGCCTGCCGATGCAGGGGACACGGGTTCGTGCCCCAGTCCAGGAAGATCCCACGTGAGCCATGGCCGCTGGGCCTGCGCATCCGGAGCCTGTGCTCCGCAACGGGAGAGGCCACAACAGTGAGGGGCCCGCGGACCAAAAAAAAAAAAAAAAAAAAAAAAAAAGAAAATCACATATTTGTGTATGCCATTACATTCTATGTATAGAAATCAACCTGGGAACTCCCTGGCAGTCCAGTGGTTAGGACTCCACACTTTCACTGCCAAGGGCCTGGGTTCTGGGTTCAATCCCTGGTTGGGGAACTAAGATCCCATAAGCCATGCAGTGGGGCCGGAAAAAAAAAAAAAAAAAGAAATCAGTACCCTCTGGATGTAGACAGATGGATAATAATAGTAGCCGTATAAATACTTATGCTACTATATAATGCATTAAGGTGTTGCTTTTGAAAAAATAAATAAATAAGCATCATAAAGAATTACAAATTTCTTAAATCTTTATCATGTAATCATTATAAAAATGTAATGAAGTTTTGGCTATTAATTTTTATATGTAATCATTTTTACAGGAAAATGAACCAAATCAAATTGTAACCCCATATAAATACATGTGTGTATGTGTGTATATATATGCATATGTGTGTATGTACATATATATATACATATATACTATAATGCCTAATATGCATTTGTTAAAATAAAAGGAACAAGTTGTTATCATCAAACCACAATGATTAGTTATAACTAACCATAATTAATCCATAATTAATATTGGAGCAATTTGCATCACAACTATTGTAACTTATGTATATTATCAGTTTGATAGGTTACTTATGTTTCAATTAAAACCCCTGACATCAAAAAACTGTTCATATTTTTCATAACACCATTTCTTGAATTGGTAAATTAAGCATCATTTGAAAGAGT